ACATACACACAACTTAGGTTAAAAGCTGTAAATACCAGCAGTGGAACACTAGCAACATGGGGCGGCGCGCAATTGGCCCAGCGTCGTCCAGGGTAGGGGAGGGAATGGCCGGCAGGGATGTAGCTCAGTTGATAGAGCATGGCGTTTGCAACGGCAGGGTTGTGGGTTCGATTCCCACAGGGGGTATGAAAAAAAAAAAATGTATGCACTAACTGTAAGTCGCTCTGGATAAGAGTGTCTGCTAAATGACTAAAATGTAACTTTGCTTGCATATGGATTTAGCCTTCCCTCCAAACACAGCTCTTTTGAGTAATATTACCCAATACAACAGAGCCACATAAACTTTGCAAGCCACGAAGGGAGACCCATTTGAAATGATAGCAGTTCAGCTGCAAGCCTCTCCACAGAACCTCTTGGTCACACTCAGGAGAGGTGGTGAAATAACCTACTTAGTCACTTTAGGAGTGACTGTTAAACAGGTTTTGAGACATTGTTTTGATGATAGATTGAATGAATGTTACGTTCCATGGAAGTGTAGCACTTTAAATTACAGCACAGAATAATTATGTAATAACATAGTGGTAGTATGGTAACAAGTTATAGTTACTCACAATAAAAACGTAATCTGCCTAGATACCCCTTTATTTGTTGAGTTAGTTTGGTAATAACATAGGTAGGGAGGTATCATGAGAGAAGTTAGCAGTGACTGAGTACTTTTTGATGAGGTGTAGTATCATCACGAGACAGTCCACACCAGCAGTCTGCAGTAGGTTGATAAGGCAGAAGGGTGGACCCAGTATTGCCCGTCAAACCAGAAATACATCATAACCTTGTCCTGCTGCCAGAGAGGATACCAACCCTGACAGTCAGTAGAGTACAACACTGAAACAACGTTCTCTTTAAATACCTTTGATTTCCTCTGTTTCCGTATCCCTCAATCTCTTTCCATGCTAGCAATGTAGTTTGTTGTGTGTTGAGCACAAGTATAGCTTTTAACATTTCTTCAGTCTACATGCTGTCCTTTTTGGTCCTCTGACAGTGTGCCTTAACAGGCAGCTGGCCCAGAACAGAGAAGAATGTCTTGCCCTTCAATGTACACAGAGGGCTAATGTCAACAGTAAGCATGTCAGTCTCTCTTAGCTCAAAGTAGAGGAGAGATTGACTGCATCAATTCTTGTTTTTGTGAGAAATATTTATGTATTGGGGCGACAGGTAGCTTAGTGGGTAAGAGCGTTGTGCCAGTAACCGAAAGGTGGTTCTAATCCCTGAGCCGACTAGGTGAAAAACCTGTCGATGTGCCCTTAAGCAAGGCACTTAACCCTAATTGCTCATGTAAGTCGCTCTGGATAAGAGCGTCTGCTAAATGACTAAAATGTTTTTTTAAAATCCAAACTGTTCCAACATCCATATAGCTCTGACAGACATACTTACCCCACCAGACATGCCACCAGGGGTCTCTTCACAATCCCCAAATTCAGAATGGATGCAAGGCAACAAACAGTATTATGTAGAGCCATGATCACATGGAACTCCCTCCCGCCTCAAGCGAACAGCCAAATTTCCTTTAAAAAAATAAAACAACACCTCACAACACCTCTCCCCTATCTGACCTAAATAACTCTTAGGCATATGTATATGTACCAATGTACAGTATGTATGTGTGTAACTGTCCAGAGGACCTTTCATGTTTCCATTGTTCTTATTTTAAATGTGTGTAGTTCAGTCCTTGAGCTGTTCTTGTCTACTGATGTTCTGTGATTACGTCATATTTTATGTTTTGTGTGGACCCTCAGGAAAAGTAGCTGCTGCTTCGGCAAGAGATAATGGGGATCCTAATAAAACACTAAATACAAAATGACGATGGAAGCGAGGACGGTGTGGCATCACTGCTAGTCGACTGGAGGAAAGATCAATGGTAGAGGGGGGGGGCTTCATTAAGAGAAGGTAGAGAGAGAGGGGCTTCATTAAGAGAAGGTAGAGAGAGAGGGGGGCTTCATTAAGAGAAGGTAGAGAGAGAGGGGGGCTTCATTAAGAGAAGGTAGAGAGAGAGGGGCTTCATTAAGAGAAGGTAGAGAGAGAGGGGCTTCATTAAGAGAAGGTAGAGAGAGAGGGGGGCTTCATTAAGAGATGGTAGAGAGAGAGGGGGGCTTCATTAAGAGAAGGTAGAGAGAGAGGGGGGCTTCATTAAGAGAAGGTAGAGAGAAAGGGGGGCTTCATTAAGAGAAGGTAGAGAGAGAGGTGGGCTTCATTAAGAGAAGGTAGAGAGAGAGGGGGGCTTCATTAAGAGATGGTAGAGAGAGAGGGGGGCTTCATTAAGAGAAGGTAGAGAGAGAGGGGGGCTTCATTAAGAGAAGGTAGAGAGAGGGGGGCTTCATTAAGAGAAGGTAGAGAGTGGGGGGCTTCATTAAGAGAAGGTAGAGAGAGAGGGGCTTCATTAAGAGAAGGTAGAGAGAGGGGGGCTTCATTAAGAAAAAGGTAGAGAGAGGGGGGCTTTATTAAGAAAAAGTAGAGCGGGGGGGACATGTAGATAAGACGATGGTGAGCAAAGAAAGGGATGGAAAGACTAGACATCTATATCAAATGCACAGAGCTCATAAACAGTGTAGCTTTTATGTAAGTAGATACATAGAGGTTTGCAGTTTATGGAATTGTTTTTGTCTTATTGGTGTCCTGCAATCTCTCCTGTGCCTCAAAGAATTTAGCACCTAACATTTGTGAATCTCATTTGATTAAGCTAAAAGAGAGAAACAGTGAGGCTAAAAGAGAGAAACAGTGAGGCTAAAAGAGAGAAAGAGACAGAGACATAGAGATAGAAAATAAAACATTTAACTGCCAAAAAAATGGTTCCAGAAGGCTACTTCGGCTGTCCCCATAGAATAACCCTTTTTGGTTCCAGGTAGAACCCTTTTTGGTTCCAGGTAGAACTCTTTTGGGTTTCTTGTAGAACCCTCTATGAAAAGGGTTCTACCTGGAACCAAAAGGGTTCTACTTGGAACCCAAAAAGGTTATTCGAAGGGTTATCCTATGAAGACAGCTAAATAACCCTTTTAGGTTCTAGAAAGCACCTTTTTTTCTAAGAGTGCACCTATATATATAGTTAGTTTTTTTCCACTCGCCGTCTGTTAATCTATTTCAGTTATCCACCTGGAGGAAGTCTCAGGGTGGTGAGTTGTGGCTCTCTGCTTCGCTATCATCACTGTCATCTCTAACAATGAAAAACAGTGGATGGGGGTGGAGCAGACCAGACAGGAAAAGAGGGAAAGAGAAGCCGCGAAGAAACAGAAGAAAACACATGAAAGAAAGATACCTTGAATTGCATTGACTGAATTTGAACCTGTGAGTGGTGGGCTTTGTCTCTCAAGCAATGGGATGAACAGCCAATCCATCAAGATACATAACCTGCTAGCAATTGACCAGAGCTCATTCCAGCACATAATAATAATAATAATATGCAATGTAAAAATGTAAAAATGTATGCCATTTAGCAGACGCTTTTATCCAAAGCGACTTACAGTCATGTGTGCATACATTTTTTTTTTTTTTTACGTATGGGTGGTCCCGGGGATCGAACCCACTACCCTGGCGTTACAAGCGCCATGCTCTACCAATTGAGCATAAGGTATTCTGCACAGTCACATACATGTCATGGACCTCTATGAATGAACTACATTCAGAGTAAGAAAGGTTCACATACACATAGAACAGGGGTAGTATTTTGAGGAACGTCTATACCTGCATGTGTTTGTGTGTGTATTAGGTGTGCATGAGTACGCACGTGGTTGTGGGAGGAGGGGGATGGGAGAGTTCACCTATGAAGATATCAACTGCTCATGGTCAGTCTGTCTACCTACAATTAGCATTCTAAAGTTCAAGCCACCTCATGAACTTCCCCAATCAGGCTTTCTGCTATCTAAATTACAATTGTTATAAGACATGATACAAGGATCTCTCAATTAATTAAGACAAATTGGCTTCATTGACAGCAGTGGTGACGGAGGGTTTTTAATGCCCCATACAATGCACAAACATACATACCCTTTTTCTCTGGCACACGCATTCACACACACACACACACACACACACACACACACATCACTATATAATGTGGTTTGAGGCCACACCCAAACCAAGTGTTACTATTAGTTGAGGCATGTTGCACACAGATGTTGCTTTTAATGAAGAGTTTAATCACAGAGCTCTGGGTTCAATCATAGTGCTTGTTTCTTCTGGGTCTTTATCAGTGAAAATAACATTGACTCCATTTTGATTGATTACATTCCAGTTCAAGGCACTATGGTCAGGAAGCCAGTTACTCAAGGTCCCCTCTGTCACCACTGAAGATTTCATGAGGACCTGTTGTTAATTAATGAAGAAACACAATCAAATACTAGTACATCAATGATGATGAACTCACTTGGTTTAGAAGCATGATGTTGTTCCCCCCCCCTCCCAAAAAAAAAACTAAGCTACAAGACGTGTGTGCGCAATATGTGTGGGTTTTATATAGACCTATTGGATGACTAATTCAATCTGATCACATGCTAATGCTGATTCAGCTCACAAAGGCATAGCCTATACTCTTTCATTTAACTTTTCATCAGAATATTCTGATTTAAAAAATAAAAAAATTACAACACTTGTGTCATCGCTTCTGTATGCCGTTTACACATCGCAGTTCTGTGATATAGTCTGTTCCAAAGGTTTTTGTATACGAGCAATTAATGCCAGACAAATTAGTAAATTCTGTGACTACTAAAAATAAATAACAACACATTTCTTTGGCTAATAAATACTAATTTCATGAAGACTGATCGCCTCACATATGAATCACACACATGTCTAAATATTCCATTAAATAGATTTATGTCTAAATATTCCATCAATTTTCCAAGATCATAGGAAGTTCCAATTCCAAATTCATAGGAAGTTTCAGAGTGATGTAGCAGACCCACGTATTCAAGAGGAGCAGCACCTCGGGGGTTAAACTTTGTTCAACTTCCAATGCATTCTGGGATGTAGCATGAAACACAATGGCGGCGAAACTGAATCATTTGCAACTTTTTGTGGTCTATTATTCGCTCATAGCAATATTGCTACAAATTAGTCTAACGTTTGCTACAGAGTTAAAGTGGGACGACAATGGCTACATTTTATATTGTCCTTGCATGGGTAATTGTATCAACTTTAATTGGAAGCATTGTAACGTTAGCTACTCGGGTGTCATGATGATGTCTGATATGTAACGTTAGCCCGGCTATGGTTTCTTACAGTTCATTTATTCACGCAGATGTTATGTATTTATGCTATCTAGATTTGTATTTTCCAAATATAAATCTCGTGTTTAAAATTCGTTGCTAATGGGACCCATTTCGTTACTCAGGTCGATTTGGAAACCAAGCCGACCACTTTCTGGGTTCGTTGGCATTCGCCAAAATGCTGAATCGAACACTGGCAGTTCCCCCCTTCATAGTGTACCGCCACCACGCGCCTCCATACTCAAATGTAAGTGCATGAATCAATGTTTCCTGGTGTTGATCTCACCAGTCCCTTTCTTTTAAATCCACGAAGTGAACAAGAGCACACTTTGGGAGAAAGGACAGAGACTTGGGACGCAGGGATGATCACATCTCACACTCACAGCTGTCTCTCCCTTTCAACAGGTACATGTCCCCTACAGTGATTTTTTCCAGCTGGAGGCCCTGACCCACTACCACCGTGTGGTAAGCCTGGAGGACTTCATGAAGCATCTTGCCCCAACACACTGGCCCAAGGGACGGAGGGCAGCCTACTGCTTTGAGTCAGCTGCCCAGAGGAGTGTGGACAAGAAGTCCTGCCCCATGAAGGTGAGTGTTGTGATTGAGGTTCAGAGAGTTGGAGAAACTGAGACCGTTGTTCAGGTATTGAGCCTGGTTAGTGAAAGAAAAAACGTTGAAACTGGTCAGAGATTATTTAAAAGCCAGGTCCTGGAACATAGGCCACAGCTTTGGCTCTATTGTCTTTTATATAATTAAATTACTTATATAAGAAATGTATTGATTTAGTGTTGTTCATGCAAATGGAAAGAATGCCATGGCAGAGCAAAACACTGCCCCCTGATGGAATGTTACTATAACTGTATTTTACATTAAAATCTTTTCCTTATCATCTATTTCTCATGTTTACCACCAAGTGGTGAAAACAGTTAGATCTGGTATAAACGTCTTGTAAAGCCTTGCTCATGGTGTGTTATGAACCATCACATGCTCTCATTATCAGGACGGGAATCCTTTTGGTCCGTTTTGGGATCACGTAGGAGTGGAGTTTGACAGGTCTGTCCTGTTTGACGGCTTGTCCTTCAGTTCCTACCACCAACCTCATTGGCTCAACAAGTAAGTCTTTGTGCTTTACTGTTAGTGAAACATAAGCATGATTTTTGCTCAACTTACTGGCGATATAACAGCAGAATAAATAAACCTCTTATTAACATAACCAATGTATTAAATTAAATGTAGTTTTACAAGGACAGCGCCCATTAATGAGCATCACTGTAGAAGTGCCAGTTTTAGCCAGCGGGCTACTTTTCAGTCCCAATTTCCTTCCCCCTCTCTCGTCCTCCCTGGTCAGGTTCCCTCCATTAGAGCACCCTGTCCTGGCCCTGCCAGGTGCCCCAGCTCAGTTCCCTGTGATAGAGGAATATGTGGGTCTGCAGCGGTATGTAGTGTGGGCGGAAGGGATGGTGCAGGAGGGACAGGAACACATCGCTGCTCTGCTGCCCAGGCCATACGTGGCCATACACCTGAGGATCGGCTCTGATTGGGTGAGCTGGGAACACACACACACACACATACTCGACAGAATAAAAAAAATTATGAGTTATTGACATTTTCAATACATTTTGTCCTGCCCTGACCCCCATTCTGTTTCTCTGTTGTCTTCCCCGATTTAATGGTCCTTGTAGGTAAATGCCTGTAAGCTGCTCCAGAGTGGGGATGCTGGGCCTCACTTCATGGCCTCTCCTCAGTGTGTGGGTTATAATCACCAGACTGCCTTGCCCCTCACCATGACCATGTGCCTCCCTGACCTGGCTGAGATCCGCCGGGCCCTCAAGCTCTGGGTCAAGAAAACCTCTGCCCGCTCCGTTTATATCGCCACAGACTCAGAGTCCCACCTCGCTGAGATCCAAAAACTCTTCAAGGATAAGGTGAGCTTTGATTGATTGATTGATTGATTTTATTTGTCAGTTAAATATATATATACACACACAGTGCATTCGGAAAGTATTCAGACTCCTTGACTTTTTCCACATTTTGTTACGTTACAGCCTTATTCTAAAATGGATTAAATAAAACATGTATCTCATCAATCTACACACAATACCCCATAATGACAAGGCAAAAACAGGTTTTTATAAATTTTTGCAAATGTATTAAAAAATAAAAACAGAAATACCTTATTTACATAAGTATTCAGACCCTTCGAAATTCGAAATTGAGCTCAGGTGCATCCTGTTTCTATTGATCATCCTTAAGATGTTTCTACAACTTGGAGTCCACCTGTGGTAAATTCAATTGATTGGACATGATTTGGAAAGGCACACATCTGTCTATATAAGGTCCCACAGTTGTCAGAGCAAAAACCAAGCCATGAGGTCGAAGGAATTGTCCGTAGAGCACCGAGACAGGATTGTGTCGAGTCACAGATCTGGGGAAGGGTACCCAAACATTTCAGCAGCATTGAGGGTCCCCAAGAACAGTGGCCTCTATCATTCTTAAATGGAAGAAGTTTGGAACCACCAAGACTCTTCCTTGAGCTGGCCGCCCGGCCAAACTGAGCAATCGGGGGAGAAGGGCCTTGGTCAGGGAGGTGACCAAGAACCCGATGGTAAATCTGTCAGAGCTCCAGAGTTCCTCTGTGATGGGAGAAACCTCCAGAAGGACAACCATCTCTGCAGCACTCCACCAATCAGGCCTTTATGGTAGAGTGGCCAGACACAAGCCACTCCTCAGTAAAAGGCACATGACAGCCCGCTTGGAGTTTGACAGAAGGCACCTAAAGACTCTCAGACCATGAGAAAAAAGATTCTCTGGTCTGATGAAACAAAGACTGAACATTTTGCCCTGAATGCCAAGCGCCACGTCTGGAGGAAATCTGGCACCATACCTACTGTAAAGCATGGTGGTGGCAGCATCATGCTGTGGGGATGTTTTTCAGTGGCAGTGACTGGGAGACTAGTCAGGATCGAGGGAAAGATGAACGGAGCAAAGTACAGAGAGATCCTTGATGAAATCCTGCTCCAGAGAGGCCTCAGACTGTCTATGAATGTCCTTGAGTGGCCCAGCCAGAGCCCGGACTTGAACCCGATCGAACATCTCTGGAGAGCCCTGAAAATAGCTGTGCAGCGCCGCTCCCCATCCAACCTGACAGAGCTTGAGAGGATCTGCAGAGAACAATGGGAGAAACTCCCCAAATACAGGTGTGCCAAGCTTGTAGCCTCATACCCAAGAAGACTTGAGGCTGTAATCTCTGCCAAAGGTGTTTCAACAAAGTACTGAGTAAAGGGTCTGAATAATTATGTAAAAGTCATATTTCCCTTTTCTTTTTTTTTATGTGCAAAAATGTCTAAAAACCTGTTTTTGCTTTGTCATTATGGGGTATTGTGTGTAGATTGATGAGGAACTATTTAATACATTTTAGAATAAGACTGTAACGTAACAAAATGTGGAAAAAGTCAACGGGGTCTGAATACTTTCCTGAATACACTGTATATACACATACAGTACACCCGTTTTTCACACGTGTTACGCAGTTGGTAAACATGCTTTGTTTGTATACTGCATGTTCAGTGTATCGTTGTTGATTTGTCTGTCCATGCCCAGGTGAAGGTGGTGAGCCTGAAGCCGGACTCTGCCCAGATGGACCTGTACATCCTAAGCCAAGCTGACCACTTCGTTGGGAATTGTGTGTCCTCGTTCTCAGCTTTTGTCAAACGAGACCGGGATGTTCACGCCCGCCCGTCCTCTTTCTTCGGAATGGACTATGCTGGAAAAATGAACAAGAAAGACGAGCTGTGAAGATTTTTCCCTTCCTGGGTAGTCTATTCCGAAGAAAGACGACAAATGGCTTTTAGAATGGCTTTTTAATCTTGGGTTAGGACTTGGACATTGCATTGTGGGAATGTGATCTTGTACTCCCTACTCATTATATTACACTTTTTTTGGGGGGGGGTGTAAACTCTGATCGCCGTTCGCGGTGAATAAATTAACACTCCCTATACTTTCAATGCATTTTTTCAGCAAAAGGTGGGTAAACCCTCGCGCAAAATATAAAATTGCGTTAACTACGTTTACCTGTGTTTAGCCTCCACTACACCACTGCTATTAAACAAGCAGTTACACTATTACACAACTCTTCATAGCATCAAGAGGGTGTTCAATTTCCACAGTACTTTCTATAGCCACAGCTATATATGTCTCAATTTGCATACCAGTCAAGTTAGCAGGAGCTCAGGTCACCCAGTTGAACCCTGGGTGGGTAAGACTTCCAGTGTAATGTCCTGTCTGATCATGTGCTCCAGCTCTTACGTGTTGCCCTCCCTCCCTCCCTCCCTCCCTCCCTCCCTCCCTCCCTCCCTCCCTCCCTCCCTCCCTTCTTTAATACGGTGTATAGGCGACCTGGTGGATGAGGGTGGAAAATAACTACAAAAATAAATAATAGTTCAGTAACTGATCCTGCAGATACTAATTATAGGGGGGCGGTTGACAGTCTTCCTCATACATTCTTCTAATGTACTCTAATAAGTAAATGTTTACTGTACTTTTGTACAACATGATTACTGTATCTGCTTTTGTCATCTGTTTCTGAAGAGTTGTATTATTGCTCTGTGATGAAAATGACCGGGAACATGACATTTATGCAAGTAACCCTGAAATGTAATGACTGAGCTGCCTCAGTCAGATAAATGGAGAAGATTCAGGGTTCGATGGTAAGTACATGTCTGTAGCCTTGAAAGAAATCTAATAATGCATGTTCTCACTTTTTACATGTTCAATTTCTCAATGCATTTCTTTGAATAACATTTCCCGAAGGTATATTGACATAATTTTGTAAGAGACATTTGCTCCTATTTATTATGAGGAGAGGTCTTCAGCTGCTACCTAGGAACATGTTGCTAGGCTACTAATACAGTAGCAGGACAAAGACAGCAATTGGCTGTGATGTCCCGTTGGACGTTGATAATAAATATCTTAGGCTGGAAATTCCAGTAGTTAATGCACGTCGCTTGACCCATATGGAGAAAAAGGGGGAAAAAGGAGCAAAGTGTATCTGTATTATTGATGTTTGATGAGTATCTACCATCCTATGTAAAACGGGGATATATAAGATACCCCGTGAGAACGTTCATGCAAAACCCGATGCAATGCAAGAACTGTAAAAAGATTGGCCACGTGTCAAGTGTTAGCAGACAGGAATATGTTATTGAAGAGTCTGTGAATGTAAAATGTTGCAACTGTGGTGGGGATCATATTCCCGAATTCCCTGAGTGCTCTGTTAGGGTGAAAGAGGTTGAGGTGTCAAGGATCAGGGCGGTATAGCATATCTATGTGGAGGTGGTGAAGAGAGTTGAAAGGGCAAGAGGCCACAGTGCTGAAGAAGATATGGTGGTGGATGCACCACAACCATTTGTCAATGTTATAAGCCAATCAAGTGATCTGGATACACTTATTGTGAAGAAGGTGGATTTTGTAGCTTTTATAGCCACAGTTATTAATTGTAAGTGTCCAACAAGCTGGACATCATATCTGCAGCCGATACGTTTTTGGACTTCACGGCAGAAGCACTGTCGCCCTCACAGAATCCTTCTGAGCCTGTGTAGGGACCTGATCAGAATGTTGTTAGAAAAGCAGGCTGATTTAGTTTAATTTAAAATTCGTTGTTGATAGTTTAAGAATGTGTATATATAAATGTAAATAATAATATATATATATACACTACCGGTCAAAAGTTTCAGAACACCCACTCATTCAAGGGTTTTTCTTTATTTTTACTATTTTCTACTTTGTAGAATAATAGTGAAGAAATCAAAACTATGAAATAACACACATGGAATCATGTAGTAACCAAAAAAGTGTTTAACAAATCAAAAGAGATTTTAGATTCTTCAAAGTAGCCACCCTTTGCCTTGACTGCTTTGCACACTCTTGGCATTCTCTCAACCAGCTTCACCTGGAATGCTTTTCCAACCGTCTTGAAGGAGTTCCCACATATGCTGAGCACTTGTTGGCTGCTTTTCCTTCACTCTGCGGTCCAACTCATCCCAAACCATCTCAATTTGTTTGAGGTCAGGGAATTGTCGAGGCCAGGACATCTGATGCAGCACTCCATCATTCTTCTTGGTAAAATAGCCCTTACATAGCCTGGGGGTGTATTTTGGGTCATTGTCCTGTTGAAAAACAAATGATAGTCCCACTAAGCGCAAACCAGATGGGATGGCGTATCACTGCAGAATGCTGTGGTAGCCATGCTGGTTAAGTGTGCCTTGAATTCTAAATAAATCACTGACAGTGTCACCAGCAAAGCACCCCCACACCATAACACCTCCTCCTCCATGCTTTACGGTGGGAAATACACATGCAGAGATCATCCGTTCACCCACACCGTGTCTCACAAAGACACTGTGGTTGGAACCAAAAATCTCAAATTTGGACTCCAGACCAAAGGACAAATGTCCACAGGTCTAATGTCCATTGCTCTTGTTTCTTGGCCCAAGCAAGTCTCTTATTATTATTGGTGTCCTTTAGTAGTGGTTTCTTTGCAGCAATTCGACCATGAAGGCCTGATTCACACGTCTCCTCTGAACAGTTGATGTTGAGATGTGTCTGTTACTTGAACTCTGTGAAGCATTTATTTGGGCTGCAATTTCTGAGGCTGGTAACTCTAATGAACTTATCCTCTGCAGCAGAGGTAACTGGGTCTTCCATTCCTGTGGCGGTCCTCATGAGAGCCAGTTTCATCATAGTGCTTGATGGTTTTTGCCACTGCACTTGAAGAAACTTTCAAAGTTCTTGCAATTTTCCATATTGACTGACCTTCATGTCTTAAAGTAATGATGGACTGTCATTTCTCTTAGCTTATTTGAGCTGTTCTTGCCATAATATGGACTTGGTCTTTTACCAAATTGGGCTATCTTCTGTAACACCCCCCCCCTTGTCACAACACAACTGATCGGCTCAAACGCATTAAGAAGTTAACTTTTAACAAGGCACACCTGTTAATTGGCCCAGTGTCGTCCGGGTTTGGCCGGTGTAGGCCGTCATTGTAAATAAGAATTTGTTCTTAACTGACTTGCCTAGTTAAATAAAGGTTAAAAAAAATAACAAATTGAAATGCATTCCAGGTGGCTACCTCATGAAGCTGGTTGAGAGAATGCCAAGAGTGTTTAAAGCTGTCATCAAGGCAAAAGGTTGGGTTACTACATGATTCCATATGAAGTTATTTCATAGTTTTGATGTCTTCACTATTATTCTACAATGTAGAAAATAGTAAAAATAAAGAAAAACCCTTGAATGAGTGGGTGTTCTGAAACTTTTGACCGGTAGTGTATATATATATTATTATTTACTTCGCATTATTTCATTTTTAGGATCTTTATTATCCACCCGCACAGTAGGTGGCGGAATACACATATAATGGTTGCGAACGCCATTATACCAAAGAAGAAGATTGGCTGTGACGTTGAAAGTCATCAACCAGCTCTCTCTCCATTCCATCCGGGATAGTTTTCTGGGATGAAGGGACGGCGGCGGTAATGGCTGACTGGGTGGAAGTACTGGATTAAATGGTAACTAGCTGACAACGTTTATGTTGTCATGGATGTTGCAGTTTAATAATGTTAAAATGAGTTTCACCTGAATTGTGTGCTTGTTCTTGTAAACTGCATAAGGAGATGCCTCCCATCATCAAAATGCACGGTCTTGTCTCCTGCCCTCTGAGAATGGATGTGTTTTGCCGTTGCTAGGCCGTCTGATCGAGTTTGGGGTGCTTCCCGAGTCTTTGACTTTGTAAACAAGCTGGCTAGCTAAATAACATTATGTTGGGTGATGTGAACATGTTTCTCCAGTTTGCTAGATATCTTCTTGTTGATATATATCTAATTGTCACAATAAGCAAACCGAAAAGCCGTAACCTTTTAATTTGCATCAATCAACTAACGCGTTAGCTAGGTTACAGTAGCACTGTAAATGCCAGTTGATCTGTTGCGACGCTATCACCAGGGAGCACTGACTGATATAACTAACTAGCTTGCCAAAGAACGTGACGTTTTTAGCCAGTTAGCTAAGTTAGTAGGTCATACATTTACGTTTTGCTAGCGAAATGGCCTAGGTACACTATATATACAAAAGTATGTGGACACCCCTTCAAATTACTGTATTCCACTATTTTAGCCACACCCGTCGCTGACAGGTGTATAAAACCACCACACAGCCATGCAATCTCCATAGACAAACATCGGCAATAGGATGGCCTTACTGAAGAACTCAGTGACTTTAAACGTCGCACCGTCATAGAATGCCATCTTTCCAACAAGTCAGTAAATCACATTTCTGCCCTGCTAGAGCTGCCCGGGTCAAGTGTAAGTATTGTTATTGTGAAGTTGTTATTGTGAAGTGGAAACGGCTGAGCCTTTGTTGCTCATAGACGCAAAGTGGTAGGCCACACAAGCTCACAGAACGGGACCGCCGAGTGCTGAAGCACATAGCGCCTAAAAATCGTCTGTCCTAGGTTGCAACACTCACTACTGAGTTTGATTACTGCCTCTGGAAGCAACGTCAGCACATTAACTGTTCGTTGGGAGCTTCATGAAATGGGTTTCCATGGCCGAACAGCTGCACACAAGCCTAAGATCACCATGTGCAATGCCAAGTGTTGACTGGAGTGGTGTAAAGCTCGCTGCCATTGGACTCTGGAGCAGTGGATGCGCGTTCTCTGGAGTGATGAATCACACTTCACCATCTGGCAGTCTGACTGACGAATCTGGGTTTGGCGGATGCCAGGAGAACGCTACCTGCCCCAATGCATAGTGCCAACTGTAAAGTTTGGTGGAGGAGGAATAATGGTCTGGGGCTGTTTCATGGTTCGGGCTAGGCCCCTTAGTTCCAGTGAAGGGAAATCTTAACGCTACAGCATACAATGGCATTCTAGATGAGTGCTTCCAACTTTGTGGCAACAGTTTGGGGAAGGCTCTTTCCTGTTTCAGCATGACAATGTCCCCCTGCACAAAGTGAGGTCCATACAGAAATGGTTTGTCGAGATCGATGTGGAAGAACTTGACTGGCCTGCACAGAGCCCTGACCTCAACCCCATCGAACACCTTTGGGATTAATTGGAACGCTGACTGCAAGCCAGGCCTAATCGCCCAACATCAGTGCCTGACCTCACTAATGCTCTTGTGGCTGAATGGAAGCAAGTCCCTGCAGCAATGTTCCAACATCTAGTGGAAAGCCTTCCCAGAAGAGTGGAGGCTGTTATAGCTGCAAAGGGGGGACCAACTCCATATTAATGCCCATGACTTTGGAATGAGATGTTCGACGAGCAGGTGTCCACATACTTTTGGTGATGTAGCTAGCTAGCAAGATAACCTAATTTGATGTTGTCACAGATGGAAGGGTTAGCTAGTTACCATCAGTATCTTTGTTGCGCTCTGTCGTTTACCTAGGTTGCTAGTCATGTTAATGTTAGCTTGCTAGCTAGCTGCTACAGTATCTGTAGTCAGGAAGCTAGTTTGATGCACAGTTCACAAATAAGGTCTTCATAATCACAAAAGAAAACATTAACGGTAACAAGTCGTGTTGGCAATAGCTATTTGAACATCAGCATCTCTTTTTACAGGTTCTGATGCTGGCAGGTCTGACATTGTGAACTCAGATTTGTACAAACTTGAAGGACATAGACACAAGCCAGGTGACAAGGCAGTTTCTCAGAAAATCCTCACAATGTCTAAGACCAGAGAGTCGGTGAAGGTGGTGGTCCGCTGTCGACCCATGAATGAGAAGGAGCGTGCTGCCAACTTTGAGAGGGTGGTGGAGGTGGATGTGAAGCTTGGCCAGGTGGCCGTGAGAAACCCCCGGGGGGCTGCAGCCCACCAACACCCCAAGATCTTCACATTTGACTCTGTGTACGACTGGAACTCCAAACAGGTGGATCTCTATGATGAAACCTTCAGGCCCCTGGTGGACTCAGTCTTGCTTGGTTTCAATGGGACCATATTTGCGTACGGCCAGACAGGAACAGGAAAGACCTACACTATGGAGGGGGTGCGCAATGACCCAGAGAGAAGGGGTGTAATCCCCAATTCCTTTGAGCACGTCTTCACACACATCTCCCGCTCCCAGAACCAGCAGTACCTGGTGAGGGCCTCGTACCTGGAGATCTACCAGGAGGAGATCAAGGACTTGCTGTCCAAGGACCAGTCCCGCCGTCTGGAGCTGAAAGAGAGGCCAGACACGGGTGTCTACGTCAAGGACCTCTCCTCCTTCGTCACTAAGAGTGTACGAGAAATAGAGCATGTCATGAATGTGGGGAACCAAAACCGCTCAGTGGGCTCCACCAACATGAATGAGCACAGCTCCCGGTCACATGCCATTTTTCTCATTACCGTCGAGTGTAGCGAGCTGGGCGTCGACGGGGAGAACCACATTCGAGTGGGCAAACTGAACCTGGTGGACCTGGCTGGTAGTGAGAGGCAGACCAAGACAGGAGCCCAGGGAGAGCGCCTGAAGGAAGCCACCAAGATCAACCTGTCTCTGTCAGCCTTGGGGAATGTCATCTCTGCCCTGGTGGACGGCAGGAGCACCCACATCCCCTACCGCGACTCCAAGCTCACCCGCCTGCTGCAGGACTCCCTGGGGGGCAATGCCCGCACAGTCATGGTGGCTAACATCGGACCAGCCTCTTACAATGTGGAGGAGACACTGACCACATTACGCTACTCAAACCGGGCCAAGAACATCAAGAACAAGCCCCGTGTCAACGAGGACCCCAAAGATGCTCTGCTCAGGGAGTTCCAGGAAGAGATTGCCCGGCTCAAAGAGCAGTTAGAGAAACGCTCAGGGAAAAAGAAGAAGAAGAGGAGGGGGGTTGGGGAAGCTGGGGAAGAGCTAGAAGAGGACACGGAGGATGGAGAGACGGAGGAGGATGAAGGTGTAGAACCAGCTGATAAAGTGGGTGCAGATTATTGGTGTGAACAGCAGGAGAAGTTGGAGACTGAGAGGAAGGCCATCATGGAGGATCACAGTCTGGTGGCGGAGGAGAAACAGAGGCTGCTAAAAGAGAAGGAGAGGAAGATGGATGCCCTCAAAAAGGAGCAGGAAGCAGGCGATATGCTGACTGCCAAAGTCAAGGTGAGGAGACTACATTCTGGTCCTTTTCATGGTCTTTTAGACCAACACTTAAAATTAAAAAAAATCATTCTACCTGTTCTGTGTTTCCCTCACATCTCTTGATTGTGTCGTCTCCCAGGCGATGGAGAGTAAGCTTCTGATGGGGGGGAAGAACATTGTAGACCACACCAATGAGCAACAAAGGATCCTTGAACAGAAGCGACAGGAAATCGCTGAACAGGTAACGTATACAGTTGAAGTAGGAAGTTCACATACACTTAGGTTGGAGTCATTTAAAGCTCGTTTTTCAACCACTCCACAATTTCTTGTTAACAAACTATAGTTTTGGCAAGTCGGTTAGGACATCTACTTTGTGCATGACACAAGTAATTTTTCCAACAATTGTTTACAGACAGATTATTTCACTTATAATTCACTGTATCACAATTCCAGTGGGTCAGAAGTTTACATACACTAAGTTCACTGTGCCTTTTAAACAGCTTGGAAAATTCCATAAAATGATGTAATGGTTTTAGAAGCTTCTGATAGGCTAATTGACATCATTTGAGTCAATTGGAGGTGTACCTGTGGATGTATTTCAAGGCCTACCTTCAAACTCGGTGCCTCTTTACTTGACATCATGGGAAAATCAAAAGAAATCAGCCAAGACCTCAGGGGAAAAAAATGGTAGACCTCCACAAGTCTGGTTCATCCTTGGGGGCAATTTCCAAACGCCTGAAGATACCACGTTCATCTGTACAAACGATAGTACGCAAGTATAAACACCATTGGACCACGCAGCCATCATACCGCTCAGGAAGGAGACGCGTTCTGTCTCCTAGAGATTAACGTGCCTTGGTGTGAAAAATGCAAATCAATCCTAGAACAACAGCAAAGGACCTTGTGAAGATGCTGGAGGAAACGGGTACAAAAGTATCTACAGTAAAACGAGTCCTATATCGACATAACCTGAAAGGCCACTGTGCAAGGAAGAAGCCACTGCTCCAAAACCGCCATAAAAAAGCCAGACTACGGTTTGCAACTGCACATGGGGACAAAGATTGTACTTTTTTGATAAATGTCCTCTGGTCTGATTAAACAAAAATATAACTGTTTAGACATAATGACCATCGTTATGTTTGGAGGAAAAAGGAGGAGGCTTGCAAGCCGAAGAACACCATCCCAACCGTGCTGTGGGGGTGCTTTGCTGCAGGAAGGACTGGTGCACTTCACAAAATAGATGGCATCATGAGGAAGGAAACTTATGTGGATATATTGAAGCAACATCTCAAGACGTCAGGAAGTTAAAGCTTGGTCGCAAATGGGTCTTCCAAATGGACAATGACCCCAAGCATACTTCCAAAATTGTGACAAAATGGTTTAAGGACAACAAAGTCAAGGTATTGGAGTGGCCATCACAAAGCCCTGACCTCAATCCTATAGAACATTTGTGGGCAGATCTGAAAAAGCTTGTGTGAGCAAGGAGGCCTACAAACCTGACTCAGTTACACCAGCTCTGTCAGGAGGAATGGGCCAAAATTCACCCAATTTATTGTGGGAAGCTTGTGGAAGGCTACCCAAAACGTTTGACCCAAGTTAAAGAATTTAAAGGCAATGCTACCAAATACTAATTGAGTGTATGTAAACTTCTGACCCACTGGGAATGTGATGAAAGAAATAAAATCTGAAATAAATCATTCTCTCTACTATTATTCTGACATTTAAAATAAAGTGGTGATCCTAACTGACCTAAGACAGGGAATTTGTACTAGGATTAAATGGCAGGAATTGTGAAACTGAGTTTAAATGTATTTGGCTAAGGTGTATGTAAACCTCCGACTTCAACTGTATGTATAGTCTTAGGTTATTGATAGCGGGTAAACACTCAATAGACCGTCAATCTAATGGTATTGATTTGCGCTCTGATGGGAAATGTTAAAATATTTATGTGAGTACTTTGTGTGATTACACAACCTTGCCCTTCTTACCGAGATGCTCTGTGTGTGTTCGCAGAAACGCAGAGAGAGGGAGATGAAACAGCAGGTGGAGAATCGTGATGAGGAGACCCTGGAGTTGAAGGAAACGTACAGCTCTCTACAGCAGGAAGTGGACAGCAAGACCAAGAAGCTGAAAAAGGTAGGACATTAGAAAACTATACGAAAAGGGTGCACACGATTCATTAGAAAGCTGTCCTTTACGTTGTCAGTTTAGCCTACAAAAAAGTTCAAAGGAAATTGTGCATGCCACAAAAATGTGTTTGCTACACTGAATCAAACACTGTGGTGTTTTTGTCTGTTGTTGTGCTCTGTGCCTCACCACCCTGGTTTTTCTCCCCTCAGCTGTTTGCCAAGCTGCAGGCAGTGAAAACGGAGATCCATGATGTCCAGGAGTTGCACATCAAGGAGAGACAGGAGCTGGAGCAGACCCAGAATGAGTTGACCAGGGATCTCAAACTCAAGTATGGAGCCACCAGGCTGCCCACAAGGCCAACTCTCTCATTTCTCACACACAATAAAAAGAAAACACAAATCAATATAGTCTATTTTGGTTGTTGCCCTCTGATGATGATAATAATAATAATAATATGCCATTTAGCAGACGCTTTTATCCAAAGCGACTTAGTCATGCGTGCATACATTTTTGTGTATGGGTGGTCCCGGGGATCGAACCCACTACCCTGGCGTTACAAGCGCCTTGCTCTACCAGCTGAGCTACAGAGGACCATATATCCCATTCTGACAAGGAGCACATACATCCCATTTTTACATTTTAGTCATTCAGCAGACGCTCTTATCCAGAGCGACTTACAGTACATTCATCTTAAGATAGCCAGGTGAGACAACCACATATCACAGTCATAGTAAGTACATTCATCTTAAGATAGCCAGGTGAGACAACCACATGTCACAATCATAGTAAGTACATTCATCTTAAGATAGCCAGGTGAGACAACCACATATCACAGTCATAGTAAGTACATTCATCTTAAGATAGCCAGGTGAGACAACCACATATCACAGTCATAGTAAGTACATTCATCTTAAGATAGCCAGGTGAGACAACCACATATCACAGTCATAGTAAGTACATTCATCTTAAGATAGCCAGGTGAGACAACCACATGTCAATTTTTCCTCAATAACGTAGCTGTCAGTCAGAGTTAGTTATTGATTGGTCTAGATTAGGCAGACTGTATTGCACTGTAGTTCCCTCGTCCCCCATGACTGTTTACACCTCCTCCTATTATCAATGATAGTATCATCAGGCTGTTAGAGGCCCCTTCTTCAGCAGCAGATCTGATCTTGTTATTGTTGTCTGCCAGGCATCTCATCATTGAGAACTTCATCCCCGTGGAGGAGAAGAATAAGATCGTGAACAGGGCGTTCTTCCAAGAGGACGACGACAACTGGAAGATGCGTCCCATCACACGCATAGAGGAGTATGTGCACATTTCATTATCCAGTTAATTAGACATACAAACATGCAAAAAATCATGAATACAAAACACAGGGTTTGGAATAAGTGGTTGGAAAATCCCTCGTGTGTAGGAACACACACAGATTGTCTTTTTAATTAACCCTCGATCTCACTCTCAGTGACCAGCAGATGATGACCAGGCCAGTGTCAGCGGTGGGCTACAGAAGACCCTTGAGCCAGCACGCCCGCACGTCCATGGTGATGACGGCTGACGTCAGGTACAAGGTATGATGATGTTCTTCTCCTCTCTGTCACTCTCTGTGTCTGGTGAATGTGACTTAGCCCTTGTCCAATGGGTGGTAGCAGTTTCCTGACCTCTGACCCCCCCCCTCTCTCTGTCTCTCCCCAGGCTGAGAATATCCTGATGCTGGAGATGGACCTGCCTGCTCGGACCACTAAGGAGTATGAGGAGCCGGTCATAGCACCCACAGTAGCAGCAGCGTTGGAGGATGCACTGCGGGAAGAGGATGAGATCCAGGTGGATGCCTCTGGGTTGCACAACAGCCTTGGGCCCACCCAGACCACCAGCACTGGGGCCATCAAGAAACCAAAGTCTGGGTAAGGGTCTGTCCCGTTCTGTACAAATCAGCACTTTGTTTTGTCAGTTATTTCAGTTGGGAGTGTTTCTGCCTGTTTAGTGTCACACAGGTCTACTCGATACCACAGGGTTATAAAGCAATAATCATGATTTAAAAGCCAATGATGTTTCCACCTCAATGTTCTTTCCCCCCTAACAAAATATTTATCTTCCCATCTCCTTCAGCCGACCTAAAACAGGTAAGAAGACCGCCACCCCCACATCTCCGTACAGCTCCTCCAGCCCAGGACATCCTTTATACCCACAATCCCGTGGGCTTGTACCCAAGTGATCACCCCACACCTTTCTGTTTTGGGACCCAAAATGAAAGACTGCTTTTTGTTTAGTTTTTACAGTCTGTAAGAGAAAGAGAAGCAGTCTCAAGACTTAGATTCAAGCTGCTTTTATTTTGATTTGACCTGAGACCGTAGCTGTTTTATTATTTCAGCTTTTTAAGGAATTTGTAACTACCTTACCATCCCAAATGGTTACTGGACCAATCCTTTTCTGAGCTCCACTTTTCTACCATGCACGTGTCTTCCTGGGCCCCTCCCTGGTCTGCAGTGTATGATGGGATGAGATGTGGACATGGGGGCTGGCATCTGAAAGGGCAGATGACACCTGGACCTGACAGCTTTGCTGTACATGTCATTGAAATGCTGTGTGTGTGTGTGTGTGTGCTGGTTGTCTGTCCAGAAGTGGTTGTGCTCCTCAATGTCCCTACTTTAGGTTTACAATTGAGTGCTGTTATTCAGGTCTGTCTGTCTGTCTGTGTAAAGAGTTGAGCTTTAAGTCTCTGTCCTAGATAAGTGGGGAGTCTGTCTGTTCTGCATGGTGAACCGTACAGGCTGGAGGGTGAAGCACACTACAACACGTCTCTGTCACGTCACGCGGTGGGGCCAGTCGCTGTTGGAATCACTAGATGCTGTTCTTTCTGGCACACATGATGATATGATGACAGATGATATGACAGGGAGATGATCAGATGATATGACAGGGAGATGATATGATGACAGGGATCTGATGATATGATGACAGATATTATGACAGGGAGATGATCAGATGATATGACAGGGAGATGATATGATGACAGATGATATGATGACAGGGTTATGATGACAGATGATATGACATGGAGATGATCAGATGATATGACAGGGAGATGATATGACGACAGATGATATGATAACAGGGTAATGATGACAGATGATATGACAGGGAGATGAAAGTGGGGAACTAGAGGTCAACACAAACCAAATCTGTCAGGGTTTCAAGTTGCCTTTATATTCTACAGGCCTACAGGGGCTGGCTAAAGGAGAGGGGGGAGGGTGAGGTGGACGGAGGGAGGGAGGGGCTAAAGGAGAGGCAGGAGGATGGATGGGAGGGGGTTGTGTCGTTTCCCCAGCCTCATCTTTATCGACGTCACATCTGGCTCTGTTCCTTGGAATCAACTGATTTGTTGTACTGAAACGAGCAGGCCGAAATACTGTACAAAAAAAGGACTAAGAAAAGCAGGCGCTCTTCTACCAACTACTGTATATCAGAGGCCTCCATCAAAATGAACTAGGCTTGGTCTGAAGAATGAAGGTAGCTTTCCATGTATGTTTTGGATAAATATGCTGTCTTTAATTCACACGGTTGAAACGCGCATCTCTGATTGCTGTCCCCCTCTCACTGGGAGGGGTGTGCTGCTACTGCTGGGTCTGGGCTATACCGCCCTGTGACATGGTGTATAGAGAGAGAGAGCAACATGCATAGATCATCCTGCATCACCTTTGCAGTTGTAAAACAAGTAAATAGGTTTCAATATTGGAAAAGTTCTAACTTATTACCACCTTTTTGTTCATTTTTATAAACAAGTGTAGATAAAAAAAATTAAAAAAAAGGTTTCTTTGAAATATACTTTTATTTTTGGATTTGTATAATTTCAAGTTTATGTACACATTTTAATGTTTGATTTGTTACACGTATGTTTAAAAAATATATATATATATATCTGACAGTACATGCATTTAAATAAATGGCTTTAGTTAGTTCAAATCCTTAGGTTAACTTTTTTTAAATTATATTTTAAGGTTGGATCAACTGTTGCACAATGGTTTATATGGGAAGGATGTTCTATCCTAAAATGTGATGTTCACTCAGATTCTGTGTGTTGGGACATTAGGAACACCTTCCTATTATTGCGTTGCATCCCCCCCTCCCCCCTTTTGCCCTCAGAACAGCCTCAATTCATCAGGGCGTGGACTCTACAAGGTGTCGAGCATTCCACAGGGATGCTGGCCCATGTTGACTCCCAATGTTTCCCACAGTTGTGTCAAGTTGGCTGGATGTCCTGATGGACCATTCTTGATACACAAGGGAAACTGTTCAGCGTGAAAAACCCAGCAGCGTTGCAGTTCTTGACACAAACTAGTGCGCCTGGCACCTACTACCATACCCTGTTCAAAGACACTTAAATATGTTGTCTTGCCCATTCACCCTCTGAATGGCACACATACACAATCCATGTCTCAAGGCTTAAAAATCCTTCTTTAACCCGTCTCCTCCCCTTCATCTACACTGATTTGAAGTGGATTTAGCAAGTGACATCAATAAGGGATCATAGCTTTCACCTGGTCAGCCTCATGGAAAGAGTTTTGTACACTGTGTACATTTGCCATGATATCATCTTTATACAATGGTTAGCCCCTGATTTAAATTACTTATCTGATCTTATAAAAGCTAACAATTATACTACATAATATTGCATGATTTTAGAAAATTCTCACCAATCGTCACCAAGCTATAGAATTTGGTAAATGTGAACGTCTTAATTTGCTTGATAATCCCTACATTTTACCCCACCGTGCAAAGACTCCATGGATACGTGTAGAAGACGTTTAACCGAGATGAATCTCTGATATTGTTTTAGCCAAATTAAGATTGTGCTGGTGCACTACAATCTGGTGCTGACTGGGAAGTCCTGTCTTTTTCCCTGTACGTTTCTTTTAATAAAGACCGTTATCTAAATACACATTGTTCTATGTTAATTTAAATGAGTGTATCTGATGACGGTGTAGTGGCGTTTAAAAAACCCAAAGTGCTATACATTCTCATATCTTTGCATAAATGATTTTATTAACAGCATTCAATAGTACAGCTCAAATTCCAGAACAGAACAGCTGAAGTACAACACACGTTCACAAAATTATAACCTTTAACAGAACTAAAAATAAGCAATATTCAAAGAAGCCAAAGGAATGGTTGTACAGTACAAAGGCAGACTGGGAAAGACTTATCGTCATATTGTACCACAATATTGAAAAGTAACGTGACAAAACTCACAGGACGTGTACTGTTACAGTTGGATGACCAAAGCAATATGCCTGGCCAAGTCAGTACAAAGATTTTGATCGATTAATGCTTTCCTCATTGATCAAATTATCTTTCCAAATGTTATATTAAAAAGGACAAATCAGAATAGTTTTAAATAGAATGCAAGTTTCATGCGACATACTGGAGGTTTGGCACTGGAGGGTGACAACGTTTTGGAATCTTGAATTGAGACAAAAGCTTAACATGCAGTCTGTAACTAAGGAATATCTGTAGCGAGTATGATCTAAATAATATTTGTCTCCATTTTTTTTTTTCTCCTGTGCATTACAAACCAAATACTACACGCAAACAAAATGTTATTTATATGTGCAGATGAACACCACTAAAATCGTCTTCAAATGTAGAATAACTAAAACAAATAGTTTTGAATGACAGGAGAAAATAAGTCAACCTTCACACATCAACAAAAATGAATCGGCATCAATCAGTAAAAAACTAAAAGGGCATTTCCATCATGCTGTTTTCAACCAATAGGAAAACACAACTAGTATGTAGAAGAAGAGAAAGCCCATGATCCTCTGCAAACTTTCTTTCAGTATTGATTATGGAGTAAACCAAAAGAGCATCTTTGGATAAACGTACATGCCAGGTTCGGAGTCTTTATCCAATCCATTCAACTAATTTAAATCTACCTATGAATCGAATGTAAATTATTTTCCTGAATTGACGGAATTAAAATGTCACTGAACCCAACACGGACGAGCTAGGACATCTTCACAGGACCTCTTGGGAAGAAAATCATCTACTAACATAAAGAGAATTTATGTTACATCATAACAATGGAAGAAGCATGGCCAACCTTAGTCTGATGATCATGTTCAAACTGAAACGTCTTCTGGGCTTTAGCATATCATAAATAGTGTCTCCTGCAGTTATTCTCTAGAATGCGGACTCTCTCAAAACACACCTAGTATTCACTGCCAGTCTGCCAAGGTCAACCTGCTAACAGAATAGAGTAGCATCACTTTAGATACGCATCTCTAAACCACAGTCATCATAGGTCATCAGTTTCAGACATGCCACCTCTTCAACAGGCACCTCAACCAGCTCCACACCAGATCAGACCAATGTTGCTATCTGCAATATGAAAAACAAAATGGCCTCACTGCGGAATCCTACCTGATACTCATTGTGCAAGCTCCGTTTATTTACAGAGCTCTAACTCTACACAAACAGCTCCCCTGAACAGATCTATGATGTTATGGGAACTTGGGGGGGGGGGGGGGGGGGGGGGGGGTTAGTAGGGAAAGTCCCAGCTTTGTGTCTCAAACCCCTCTCCACTATGCCAAACACGTCATCTCTCTGGCTTCTGGACACTACTGAAATGACAAGCTCTTTCTCCTCCGCTCGGACACTGTGCCGTTTATGAAGCACTCCGATGGTTCCTTCCAGTCTCTCCTAGTGGTTTACCTTTACTTAAGATCTGGACCAACGTGCTCTTGAGACATGAGCTACATCATACATCTTCCAACAAAATAACAGACACCACCATATATCTAGGGCACACTCAGCACAGAATGATAGATCACACAACCTCTGTTGGGTTGTTGAGTGAAACAGGAAAAATCACAAAGATCCTCCTCTCCCAACTACTGCAACAAAAAGCCATTAACATAATTGATCTGTTTGGCTGTCTGAGAAAGCGATCTGTGCCATTGAGAAAGCTAAGCTACAGATTCCCAGGGAACCTAGAGAGGCCTTATCCCCGAGGTGAAACCCTTACCATTATACTGGTCAAATAGGTCTGCTTCTTCCACAGACAGGAAAGGCATTGAGTAAGAAACACACACAGAGAGAGAGAGAGAGGATGTAGAGGACAAGAGGGATAGAGACCCAGTCAGTGAGTCAGTAAGAGAGGGCCTGTTGCCCTGCCTAGAAGGGTGGTAGGGGTCAGGGGTTGTAGAGGCCCAAGCCTGGTTGCTTGGTTGGTTTCTGCTGTGTGTTCTATCTGTGGAGAAGTCATTTCTCCCGGTAGTACAGCAGGTACATCTTCAGAGGCTCCGGGAGGGGCAGACACAGAATCCTCTCTCTCAGGATGTTTATAGGTGGCTCTGCCCGGAGTAGCTCCCCTGTCTCCCTCTCTGCTTCCTCCTCCTCTTCCTCTTCCTCCCCTCCCACCCCCCGGGATGCTCTTCCCTGCTCCTCCCCTCCCACCCCCCGGGATGCCCTTCCCTGCTCCTCCCGTCCCACGCCCTGGGCTGCCCTTCCCTGTTCCACCCCTCCCACCCCCCGGGATGCCCTTCCCTGCTCCTCCCCTCCCACCCCCCAGGATGCCCTTCCCTGCTCCTCCTCGTCCCGCTCCCCGCGGTTATTGTTGTTGTCCAGGGGAGCGGGGGTAGGGAGGGCACTGCTCACCACGTGCTTGTTAGCCAGTACCACAGAGTTGCAGTGGCGCCGGTGAACGCGCCGGCGTTTAAAGCGTGGGCCGTACTTGTGGAGCCCACTGACTCCCAGGCCCCTGCCTCCTCCAAAAGAGCCCCGGCCCCGTGGGTGACCCTCCCTGCTGTCCGTGGTCACTCTGAGGGTGTGGCGGATGGATATACGAGCCAGCTCCTGCAGCGTCCGCACCTCAAACATGGCTGCTCCGTGGGTCACCAGAGAGATGATCGAGAGGAAAGGACACAGAGAATGATGGGAAAGTTAGAACATGGCTAACGTGAGTATTCTTTCCATGGTGACAAAACGTTTTAAAAAGGCATGGACAGACCACTGGGATTGTAGAGTGTCTGCCGGCCGAGAGTACTTAGCACCTCTGAACAGTGCCGGACGTAATTTGCTAACCGATTCTACATGTAGAAATGGGCGATATGACAGCCGTCAGTCAGCAACGGTGGGGTGGTCCCTATAGCACACCGCGCCGACAGCAAGCGAACGAACGGCCCCCCGTACTGCGCAGAGCGACAATCGGTCTGGCGAGTTTCCTCCTTTGAACTGACTCCCATGTATAATCACAAACTGATAAGGCACTCACGTAGTGGGACTGTCTTGGGTTTGCCATTGGTGTTATTGGTGTGATCTTTGGGCAGCACCAGAGGAGCGAAGGACACAGCAATGATCTTTTTGGTCTCCCAGCTGCTCTGTCCTGTACGTGTGATCTTGGTCAGCTAGAAAGGGCACAACAAGAGGGTACATTAGAGCAGTGGTTCCCAAACTGTGCTCCACCCCCAAAAAAATATTTTTAAAAATAAACACTTTTTTAAGGAACTCAGTCTGACTTCCAATTTACTCTTGAAAGTTGTAATAGTAAAAAGCACAAGGTGATGTCCAGATCAACTAGCTCATGTCAGTTTTAGCCCTTAGATTTTGTTGTAATGTTTGAGTCACTCAAATATCACATGAATACACAGACATTGAACACATCCGCCACGCTGATCCTCAACACGGGGGGCCCTTCAGAGGTGCGTGCTCATTCCCCTCCTGTACTCCCTGTTCACCCATGACTGCATGGCCAGGCACGACTCCAACACCATCATTAAGTTTGCAGATGACACAACAGTGGTAGGCCTGATCACCGACAACGATGAGACAGCCTATAGGGAGGAGGTCAGAGACCTGGCCTTGTGGTGCCAAGATAACAACCTCTCCCTCAACGTGATCAAGACAAAGGAGATGATTGTGGACTACAAGAAAAAGAGGACTGAGCACGCCCCCATTCTCATCGTTGGAGCAGGTTGAGAGCTTCAAGTTCCTTGGTGTCCACATCACCAACAAACTATCATGGTCCAAACACACCAAGACAGTCGTGAAGAGGGCACGACAAAGCCTATTCCCCCTCAGGAGACTGAAAAGATTTGGCATGGGTCCTCAGATCCTCAAAAAGTTATACAGCTGCACCATCGAGAGCATCCTGACTGGTTGCATCACTGCCTGGTATGGCAACTGCTCGGCCTCCGACCGCAAGGCACTACAGAGGGTAGTGCGTACGGCCCAGTATATCACCTCTATACCAGGCGGTGTCAGAGGAAGGCCCTAAAAATTGTCAAAGACTCCAGCCACCCAAGTCATAGACTGTTCTCTCTGCTACCGCATGGCAAGCGGTACCGGAGCGCCAAGTCTAGGTCCAAAAGGCTTCTTAACATATTTTACCCCCAAGCCATAAGACGCCTGAACAGCTAATCATGGCTACCCGGACTACGTGCATTGTCCCCCCCCCCCCCCACCCCTTCTTTTACGCTGCTGCTACTCTCTGTTAATTATCTATGCATAGTCACTTTAACTCACCCTACACGTACATATTACCTCAATTACCTCGAGTAACCTGTACATTGACTCTGTACCGGTACCCCCTGTATATAGCCTCGCTACTGTTATTTTACTGCTGCTCTTTAATTATTTTTTATTTAAATTTTTTTAGTTATCTATTTTTTACTTAACATTTATTTTTCTTAAAACTGCATTGTTGGTTAAAGGCTTGTAAGTACGCATTTCACTGTAAGGTCTACACCTGTTGTGTTCGGGGCATGTGACAAATAAAATGTGATTTGATGACAATGGACTTTAAACCTGCAAAATTGTCTCTGCCAACAAGAGGGGTGTGAACAGTTTGTGTCATGAACAGTGCTTGTGCCCATAGAAATACATGTGGGGGGAGGGGATGTTCCCCAATGCTGGAAGGGGGGCCTGAGCGAAGTAGTTTGGTAACCCCTGCATTAGGGTACATCCTTGTTGTGTAAGGGTCATTTAAACTACATGTATGCATTTCAGTGTGTGTGTTTGTGTTAGTGTTTATGCACACCTTCTCCTCAAGGGGTAGTACCAGGATACCCCCCACCTTCAGCAGGTTCTTCATGTATTCTTCATGGTCTCTCTGCACCCCCGCCCCACAGTACACCCTGTCATACTGCCTGCTCTCAGGGGGGATCTCCAGGCAGTTCCCCGCCACAAAGGAAGGCTCGCAGAACTCAAACCTTCAACACAAACACAGCATAAACAAAACAAAAAACTATCTTCTATACAGGCTACACATGCAAACTCCCACCTGATATTCAACCAGTCACTGAATGCTGTAGATGGGGAAGGTAATCAGAGGTGAAGAGACTCACTTGTCAAAGCTTTCACTGGTTTTGATGAAGTAGTCTAGCTTCTGGTAGGCATACTCAATCACATCAGCATGTAACTCCACCCCATGGTTCACACCAAATGGACCTGGAACCATGATTACAACAGAACAACCATGTGAGCTTTGTACAATCCACAATGCATTTCAATAAAGAAAATACACTTTTCCAATCAGTTGGCCAGCTGATTTCCCCCTTTCCATTCCCAATAAGGCCCAGAGAGGTTGTACCGTCTGCTACAATAACTCACCCAGTATGAGGCCCACCATGGTGCTGAGGTACCCGGTCCCACTGCCCAGGTTGAGGAAGGCCAGGCCAGGGTGAAGGTCCAGGGCCTCCATCACCTCAGAGTAGATACAGGGGGCTGATAGGTGGATGTTGCCGTGCCTCCAGGCCAGGTCCTTGTAGGCGCTGTCACGGTACTCCTCCAGATAGTAGTCGGCCCGGTCGATGGCCCTGAAGGCCCGCTCCACCAGGTCCGAACGGATGTAGTGTGCCTCCTTCAGGTTGTCAATCAACTCGTCATTATCCTCCCCAGCGCTCACAGCTCCTCCCATCTTGACTGGAGAGGGAGAGAAAGGGGAACTTCTGGGCCTTTAGCTGAAGAAGAGAAATGGTTAAGTTATCTGAGTCTCTTGCATTGAGACCACTTCAACTAAATAAAAACTTCAACAAAACATCCTCCTCCATGTCATATTTTGTACATTTCAGATGAAACCATCCATCCCTTTTTGCATTGTAATGACTAATACTGAAAGAGCTTCCTAAAAATACTTTCTCAGCACATTAGGTGTGATTGCTGTACCTGTGGCCTTCCCCTGTGAACGACGCCAATGGGGAGATGATAGGACTACCAGCCAAATGTTGAGTGGGCCTGCTGTGTCATAAAGTATTAGAGAAAAAAAGGGGTCTGGCCACTTTAATGATGCCTGGTTCCTTTGATGCCCAAGAGACATTGTGTTTACTTGCCAAATGACTCATGCAAGCACAATAAGTAATGTGTGAAATGTAGGATAACATTTTCCTCGATGGTAATAAATATTTCAGAATAACATTAGGTACTAATTTTTCAACAGATATGACAAAAACACGACCATAGGATGGTGCTTTAGAACTTGACGGACCTTTGCCTTGGGTTAAGAGAAAAGTCTAACCCAATCCAATTATGACCAGAAAATATCAACAATATATGAGCAAACTCATGACATTTAAATGGTTTAGTTACTATCTATATAGTTTTTTTTTTATTGGTTGTCACATTGGAAATCTGAAAAAAGACAAACAGGCAACAACAATCATAATCTGAGTCTTCCACGCACGCAGACAGCAAAACAAAGATTCGGGACAAGGCAAGGACGACAGACAATACACACACGGCAAAATAACTGTAAGATATAATTACCTATAACTTGAAAATCAATTGTATCGTTTTAAAATGACGATTGCTGCTATTGATTTGCTTGTCTTCAGGCTTTTGTTCGAAAGCGCTCAGACAGTGCACCGCTAGCTAGATGTAAACGTTCAACCAGCTAACGCGCTTACGTCATACGTAGGTTACGTAAATTCGTCTTCTTCTTCTTCTTCTTCTTCTGTGGATTTTATGGCAGACTACAACCAAAAAGGTGCATTGCCGCCACCAACTGGATGGGTTGAAACCAAAACAAGGTAAAAAGAAAATCCATACGTAATCGGGAAAATAACTTAATTCACCCAAATAAAATAGTACATTGACAAAACAAAACAAAACTCCCACTTCTTCCTTCTTTCTAATCTCCATATCTCCCTTCTCAGGCTGTAGGGCATGAGAGGATGGTACGGCTTGTGACAATATTCCATGTAACTCCTTCGCTGAGAAATCTTTCAGCCCCAGGAACCACTCTGCTGCTTCCACAATGATTTCTATCTTCCTGGACCTTCTCTCCACCTTGGCAGTGCCATTTATCACCATCGCTATAAAGGCCACAAAGTCCACTTTCTTAACCTTTAAAATGTCAGGATCCTGCTGGTGAAAGTCACCCCCTGCCACGAAGGCCTATCCACCACCATGGACTCTTCAAGTGCCCCATTCAAACCCTCAACCCTTTTAACAGCTGCTGCATATGAAATGCTCTGGTCAGCCCTGACTTTGGACACCTCATTATCTTTCACCCTTGTGGGGCATTCGAAAGACGTGGCTTCATGGTGCCCACCACAATTGCAACATGTCACATTTTCATCACTTTTATAGCACAAAATATGATATTTTCCACAACTTAGACATCTCGGCTTCTCCCTTCTGCAAACACTTGAAACATGACCAAAAGCTTTACAATGGTCACACTGCATTGGTCTTGGGATAAATGCTCTGACTCTATAGTTACTATACTCTAACTGCACTTGAGTAGGGAGAGACTCCATATCAAAAAACAAAAGAACAGATAGACTTCACTTTTTCATCATTCACCACACGATTCATCCGACGTGCATCAATCACTCCAGGAATATTTTTAATCTCTTCAACATCTACTTCCCATGAGATGCCAGATATACCTCCCTTGAGGGGTGCCCTGTTCCTAAGAGACACACACAACACTTCAAACTTGTCAAATCGATTGAGACGCAACACACGTTTCTTCTGATCCTCAGAAGCACAAAAAATCAAAACCAGCCCGCCTCTCGCGATCCTCACAGCCTTCACTCTACCCGGCACTCTCTCTACCAGTTTGGATATCTCAAATGGTTTCTTCAGGATTGGTAATTCAATCAGCTGCTCCTCATTAACAAACCGTACTCCTACTAGATATAAAGGGACATTCTCATCGCTGTACTCTACTTTGCTCCGTTTTCAATTTTTTTTGGACAAGACTCCAATCCTCCTTGATTCTACCGCCTTTAGATTTCACAATCCACTTCATCGTCTGCCTCCGCCATCTTTTTTTTTCTGCACGTCTGTTATGTAAATACGACACATTTTAAAATCTTTTCCCAATCAAATAAACATTCTGATTGGGTATTGATTGATACAATTTCTGAAAATAACGGGCCCAAACATACAGTATTAATGAAACAAGCACAATGCGAAAGTGAATGTGGTGCAGTATAACTGTATTTTTACAGAAGGAACTTCAGTACATTGTAGGGCTTAACCACTCCTGATTAATATACACTGCTCAAAAAATAAAGGGAACACTTAAACAACACAATGTAACTCCAAGTCAATCACACTTCTGTGAAATCAAACTGTCCACTTAGGAAGCAACACTGATTGACAATACATTTCACATGCTGTTGTGCAAATGGAATAGACAACAGGTGGAAATTATAGGCAATTAGCAAGACACCCCCAATAAAGAAGTGGTTCTGCAGGTGGTGACCACAGACCACTTCTCAGTTCCTATACTTCTTGGCTGATGTTTTGGTCACTTTTGAATGCTGGCGGTGCTTTCACTCTAGTGGTAGCATGAGACGGAGTCTACAACCCACACAAGTGGCTCAGGTAGTGCAGCTCATCCAGGATGGCACATCAATGCGAGCTGTGGTAAGAAGGTTTGCTGTGTCTGTCAGCGTAGTGTCCAGAGCATGGAGGCGCTACCAGGAGACAGGCCAGTACATCAGGAGACGTGGAGGAGGCCGTAGGAGGGCAACAACCCAGCAGCAGGACCGCTACCTCCGCCTTTGTGCAAGGAGGAGCAGGAGGAGCACTGCCAGAGCCCTGCAAAATGATCTCCAGCAGGCCACAAATGTGCATGTGTCTGCTCAAACGGTCAGAAACAGACTCCATGAGGGTGGTATGAGGGCCCGACGTCCACAGGTGGGGGTTGTGCTTACAGCCCAACACCGTGCAGGACGTTTGGCATTTGCCAGAGAACACCAAGATTGGCAAATTCACCACTGGCGCCCTGTGCTCTTCACAGATGAAAGCAGGTTCACACTGAGCACATGTGACAGACGTGACAGAGTCTGGAGACGCCGTGGAGAACGTTCTGCTGCCTGCAACATCCTCCAGCATGACCGGTTTGGCGGTGGGTCAGTCATGGTGTGGGGTGGTATTTCTTTGGGGGGCCGCACAGCCCTCCATGTGCTCGCCAGAGGTAGCCTGACTGCCATTAGGTACCGAGATGAGATCCTCAGACCCCTTGTGAGACCATATGCTGGTGCGGTTGGCCCTGGGTTCCTCCTAATGCAAGACAATGCTAGACCTCATGTGGCTGGAGTGTGTCAGCAGTTCCTGCAAGAGGAAGGCATTGATGCTATGGACTGGCCCGCCAGTTCCCCAGACCTGAATCCAATTGAGCACATCTGGGACATCATGTCTCGCTCCATCCACCAACGCCACATTGCACCACAGACTGTCCAGGAGTTGGCGGATGCTTTAGTCCAGGTCTGGGAGGAGATCCCTCAGGAGACCATCCGCCACCTCATCAGGAGCATGCCCAGGCGTTGTAGGGAGGTCATACAGGCACGTGGAGGCCACACACACACTACTGAGCCTCATTTTGACTTGTTTTAAGGACATTACATCAAAGTTGGATCAGCCTGTAGTGTGGTTTTCCACTTTAATTTTGAGGGTGACTCCAAATCCAGACCTCCATGGGTTGATACATTTGATTTCCATTGATAATTTTTGTGTGATTTTGTTGTCAGCACATTCAACTATGTAAAGAAAAAAATATTTAATAAGATTATTTCATTCATTCAGATCTAGGATGTGTTATTTTAAGTGTTCCCTTTATTTTTTTGAGCAGTGTAGTACACCAATCAGTTGAATACGAGTTTTGTACTTAACTTTAGGATTAGGGTTGAGCTGGGATGATGAAGCTAGGTTTAGGTTTATCAACCTGACGGGTGTAGACTAAACGGTGACATTCTTGCTTACAGGCCTTTCCCAATGATGCATAGTTAAACAATTATTCAAAATAGTATATACAGGGAGCACCAGTACCAGATCAATGTGCAGGGGTTTGAGGTATTTGAGGTAGATATGTACATGAAGGCAGGGTAAAGTGTCTAGGCATCAGGATAGATAATAATAAGAGTAAAATAAAGAACAGAGTAGCAGCAGCATGTGATGAGTGTAAAAGTGTGTGTGTATATGTGTGAGTTCGTGTATGTGTGTTTGTGTTGTCGGTATGCGCGTGTGTGTTATTATGTGCTGGTGTTTATTTGTTTATTAGGATCCCCATTAGCTTTCACAGAAGCAGCAGCTACTCTTCCTGGGGTCCACAAAAAACACAAAACATGACAAGTAACAAAACACTGGTACACTGATAGACAACGACAATACAAAGATATACAAACAATACAACAACAACAAAAATGATGTGTATGTTAGAGTGTGTCTGTGTATGCGTGTGTGTGTGTGTGTTTGTGTGTGTGTCCTCACAGTCCCCGCTGTTCTATGAGATGTTGTTTAATCATTTTTTTAAAGGTAATTTTGCTGTTTGCTTGAGTAATTGTAAATGGAAGGGCGTTCCATGCGATCATGGCTCTGTATAATACTGTGCATTGCCGTGAATTCGTTTTGGACTTGGCGTCTGTGAAGAGACCCCTTGTGGCATGTCTTTTGGGGGTATGTATG